GTTCTGTGTATGTGTGAAAGAGGTGGCTTGGTCTGACTGTGGGGTTCCCCAGAACCTACAGCACTACCTAACTGCCCTACAGCTCTAAGCAGTGCTCAAAGCCAAAGGTGATTTACTGCTGAGATTTTTAAGGCAAAAGGCTATTTTCCGCGTGCCTGCAAGAGCTCAGTGGAAGCTGCTGCCACAGACAGAGCTGAGATCTTGTCCCTCACAGAGGCAGCTGTGTGAAGCAGTATGATGCACAGTGCCTATAGAACATGGTGGGAGCCAGGAGCCACTGCTGGTCAGTAGTCAGCTGTTTGGCCCTCTCTCCTTTCTGCTGATTTCCTGCAAGCAGGAGGGGCGAGCAGCACCTGGCCTCCATGCAAAGCAGAGGATCCCAGCTCTCCCTGACCTTCCCAGGAGCTCAGGACTGCTGCCTTCAGACAGGCAAGTTACCCCCAGGCATTCCACCCTTTTGCCTCCTGCTGCCTTGCCACGCTTCGGCAGAAGTGAACAAGATCTCTCCAGTACGGGAGAATTTTGTCTCATTCTCTCTAGGCTGTTGGCTGCCTGAGGCTCCCCTTTGCAGGAGCGGAGGGGATTCCCACCTGGGGACTTGCTTGTTGGTCCCTATGTTTGCAGCTGTAATACCTGTCACATTGTTTGAGCCAGGTCTGACACAGCTGTTGTGAGCTGGCAGGCATTAGCACACCATCCTCTGCCAAACCACTGCTCAACCAGCCATGGTTGTGCTGCTTCACGTAATCGGAGTTGTGTGATCAAGGGATTGCTTTTTGTTTTGGGAAACTTTTGTCCACACACTGTGTTTTCTGCCTTAATCCTGGACTATCTTTGTCCTTTGAGGGATGTTAATTTGAGCGCTTTATTTTGGTAGCTTCTTTACCTTCCCTTTTTCATCACGGCGAGGCCATTGTGCCTGCCTGGTTTATCATTGCTTTTCTTCTAGTGCCTTTCTTGCACTGCAGTGTTGGAGTGTATATCCAGCTGTTTCCCTCAGTTCCCATTAGTACCTCCTGTACGAAATAAATACCTTCACATATGATCTCAATTTGATGAAATAAAACCTTTTTTTAGTTTAAAACATAGCTTCTTGGAAAGGACCTGAGGTTTCAAGAGTGTTGCAGCAGATGAACCCTGTGGCTCAGGGACAGAGTGAGTCATCTAATGGGCTTCTTCCACTGTTGGCATCTACAATACCATGATTTTTCTGCATCTATGCCTGAGGACCATTGTGAATTTGTTGCCCTTTATGGGAGGAGTCATTACTCAGCTTTACTAAGCTTGAACAGGCTGGGCTTACCATGGTAAGGCTCTGGCCATCTTCTCAGCACTTCCCTTCCTGCTCCTGATAGGTTTTCCCCCTTCTTGCTGTGCTGATGAACCTTGAGTTTGTCCTGTGATTATTTTGAGTAACTACTGATCACCGTTTTCTTCCGGGAGCAGAGATCTGTGAAGGCTCATTTATGATGGAAAAAACCCAACCTGTAACTGAAATTCTTCAGTCCTCCAAATATACAGTCTCTGGAGAGGTTTCCCTCCTCTCTCTCTGGCTCCACTTCAAAGTGCAGTCTGGGCCAGGGGCCAGCACATTGATAAAGCATTTTAAATAGTAACCTGTGTAGCTGGTTGCAGAGCCCTCTCCTGGCTTTTTGGGGACAGTGCAGCCATTATCAGGCACACATCTTTTGGCAGGGTGCTAAGCCATGCACCATGATGTCAGACAATACTTTTGGAGGCAGTATATTCAGAAAGTGAAGTTACAAGAAACTTTTGGTGGCTTTCTGCTCTGTGTTTTGCCATTCAATACACTCCTGAGATGTGATTGCTTCTTGTTTGCCCCATATTCCTGCTTATTAAGCTCTTTACATTTCTGTATGGAGTTAAATATTTTTTGTTGCTGATTATATCACAATTTAGAAGGAATTTTTGTGAGCCCAAAAAGCTTTTTACAGAAGTCCAAATCATGGGATTTCAGTTTAACCAGGCTAGCTAGGCAGCAGCTTTCATCTGTACCGTTTTGTAGTGACTTTTTGAGGAGCCATGGCCAAACCTCTGATTTTAGCAGGCACTCCATATTGTAGCTTCTGTTGCCATGCTGTCCCATTTCTTCATGCAAAGAAGTGGCTAAACATCAGCACTTCCATCTGCAGTCAGTTCTGGGCACTTGCTGCTCCAAGTCTCCAAATGCTGACCAGGATTTACTTGGATGGTGATTCTCAAAGGGAGATATTTTTATACCCATCCATCCTTTTACAGATGGTTGAGCAGAAGCAGAGGGAGTTAAGGGAATCCAGCTTAGGTCAGTGTAAATCCAGAATTTAGATCCTCGGAAGTCCTGTTTAGCTGTCACAGCTGTCTCAGAAGCTGGTGTTAGTTCCACAGACACCTAGAGGTTTTCTGCTGGAAATGTGTCTTGGCAGGGCTGAGTAGCTGATGTCTGTCTAGAAGGCACTCTCAGAGCATGCCTGTCTGTCAGGCCCACACACGTGGCCATGACCTTGGCTTTTTTTCAAGAGGGATGGGCGTGTGGCACCTGCGGGATGGACCACAACCTCAGCTCCCTCCACCTCCCTGGGGAAGGGCTGGACTGGGGAACAATGTCTGCTGCCACTTACTCATGCTCTGCTCAGTCAACCTTGATTTCAGTGTTCCCATGCAAAATGAAACAGCTCTGAAGGGAGCACTGGGAGTACCCCAAGTATAAAGATGGGTCATCTGCTTGGGCTTTCCCACTCTGGCGTGCGACAAGCTTGACTGACTCCATTGGAGCATGTGATTGAACATAAATTACTCAGCTCCTGAAGGAGTCCTTTAACCACTTAGCTGTAGTATGAAAGGGGACGAGCATCGCCTTTTTCCTTGCCCTAAGACAGTGTTTTGAAAGAAAGAGCCCTTGTTTGTCTGAAATAAGGCTTATTTTCTGAAAGACAAGGCATAGGACCTATGGTAGGAGAGGGATCAGTGGAGGAAGGTATCTCCATCCAACCCTCAGTGAGGCATCTGCTTCCCAAGTGAGTTGCATCCCTATATCCTCCAAAATTCCTAGGGGGTCCCATTCTGAGGCCAAATTCATGTGTGGTAAGGCTCTGCTACTAACTCACCGCCCTCAGTTTTGCTGTGGGCAGCTTGCTCGGCAGGTCAGGTCCAACACTGTTACGCTCCTTGCTCATTAAGGCCACAGCCTGGATATAACTGGAGCATTTGAGCTCAGGTCAGTGCTGAGTTGATGCCAGTGGCACATTCAGAGCTGCTTTTTCCATATGATGTGGCTTATTCTTTCCACAAAGAAATATGCCCCTTGAAATCTATGACTGTGGGTAAATCTTCATAGCAGCTGGAACTGAACTGAGATAGAGGGTTTGACCTACTGCAGTAAAGTGAACAGAGTTTGACTTTATGAAAAGTTCACAACTAAGATATATTACTGATTTCACTGAAAATGAAAGTGCTTTGGCTGAGCTTTTTATCGTAGGGCATCATCTGTACTTACGTAGTGTTTCACTGAATGGTGCTGTATGTTACTGATGGAATCAGGCAGGAACTTTGGGTTTCTAATCAGCAGAACGACAGTCTTCAAAGCCACTGTGGTGGTTTTTGGCCTTTTCCTTCTCCAGGCCCCCTGTGAAGTGTCCTGTGGTCTTGGAACTTAATATTGAAAGCTGGAACGACTCCAAAGTCAGTTTTGAAGACCTCTTATTTCTAAACCCCCTATTTTTTTTAAGGCATAGTCCCACCATATGCTTCCCCAGGACGTCTGCCCAGAGTAGATCACATAAGAACACGTTTTACTGTAGTTAGAACCGCTCGACATGAAAGCTTACTAAGGAATACTTATACTAAAAATCACTCAGACAGTCCTCTTGTATTGCCATTTAGATCTATCATTCTGATTGATCACTATGTGGTTGGCTAATATTGAGCCTAATTTAACCCTATATGCTCATGCATCCATCTATTCTGTCTATTGTACCTGACATGCTACAAATTACTTACTCATGCAAATGACGACCTAAGGCAACCTTTTATGATATTCATGTTTAATTATACAAATGGTTTTTGATAAATAAGATTATACATCCTTCCATATGTTTATTCACTCCTTGATGAAAGCAAAATTTAATTTTCATGCAGATTTGTTGGAGAGTGTGTTTAATAAGTGCTGAGTTTTATGTAGTCTGCAGATCACTCTGGTTTTGGGAAGCTGACAAAATCAGTAGGCATAGTTCATAGAGACATGTGGTTTTTAATCAGGCCTAATTCAAGCTGCTAAATTTTGAAATCTTGGAACTGAAGCCGTTGCCTTTGTGCTCATGCAATAAAGCAAATGTTGTTGTGAAAATAAATGAGAGATGCTGACTTAACTATACATTCCAATGGGCTTTATTTATATTATGGGTTACTGAAAATGTTGCCAAATGACTGATACATTAACATTTTTAAGAGAAAAATGTTCCTGTAAAATTTTGCCATTTGAAAGAGAAACTAGAGTTTGGCTTGCGTGGGTCAGTCAAGGTGAATGTAACTTAAGTGTCACACACGTGCCAGGCTGAATTCATCAGGGCTGCTTACATACATGAATAAAGTGTGTAGAAGGGAGAAACAGGCAGGACTGGATATCAGTATTTTTGTTCAGATGTCTTTGAAAACATTATCGCTGTTGATCACAGTTTCTCAAGGAGTCCTCTTTGCATGGTATGGCACAGACAGTGGTGGGAATTCAGAGTTTGGGGATCAGGTATGGTTGAACACACACTGCCTGAGGCATGAAATCTGCTTCTTTTTCCCTAAATGTAACAGTGGGAAATATTCCACGCTTCTGTTAGAAAGCCTTTGGGTCATCACAGGTCCTGGGTGGCAGTCAAGGGGCATTTTGCATGGGTGTCATTGCGCTGTGTTTTTCTCGGTGTCAGTACAGCTGCAGTGACGTCCTTGGCTAACCATGGATGCTTTGTCAGCTTAAGTCCTTCACTAAGTTTCTCTGGTTTTGTGTGCTGAAGGTGTGGTCGGTAAACTCGGCGGGCCGGACACCAAGCAGCTGGTCCCGCTGCCGTACGGGTCCTGCTCCTCCTGAGGGCCTGGGAGCTCCCCTCTTCAACACGGTGGCATCCACTGTGGCTGTGGTGAACATCAGCCCCCCTCTTAAGCCAAACGGGGTGGTCAGTATCTACAGGCTGTTTTCTAATGATACCAGAGGGACCAATGTGGTGGTGAGTATTGTTTCTATACTTCTGTTTGAGCTTGTATTTTTTAGCTTTAACAATTTTGTTCTTGCAAGCTGCTACAGTTGGTTACAGATTGTCTTCCTCTCTCGCACTCCCATTGTTCTGCAATGCTCTCTTCTGGCTAAAGCGCCACCAGCACTTTCACTCATCTAAATGTGCTTCCCAAGGAACTAACCCCATCATTAAACACTTCTGACATGGTGATGTGCTGTGACAGTGTGAAGGGAATCAGAAGTATTGTTCAGGGGCAATATACTTCCAGACAGCTCCTGCCAGCCCAAATGGTGCAGGTGGAAACTGCAGCCATTGGGAAGTGATTGTATGCTTTGGATAGCCTATGGATTTGAAGTTCAGAAGGAAGTGCTATACATGAGCTTCCCTTAAAAATCTTTCAGGAAAGGTTGTTAAGAAGTATTTATTTCATGGTAAAGCACTGAAGAATAGTGCAAGTAGCCAAGCAGCTTCTGTGTTTGGTGTCTCAGCCTACACACTATTAGGTGTCCAGAAATGACCAGTCTCAGCGTAGGAAACCTGCAGGACTTCATTAGAGTTATAAAACAGGGAGATATGGGGAAAGGTTAGGGCTGCAGAAGGTACCAGTTACCACCAAATCAGTGCAAAATACTTTCATTCTTATTGTCTGTAACACTATCTGTTTGTTTTTTACAAGCAGGTAAATATTTGTATGGGATTCTTTCCCTTATTCCATCTTGCTCAGCTTGGAAGTGCTAGGGATACCTTCCCAGGTCATCAATCCTGTCTGCGAGCTTAAGCTGCCTACTGATTGCACATTACAAATTTATTCCTTCCAGTGCAATTGGCTGTGTCCATGTCTGATTCAGCCAGTTCATCTTGCTGGTGCCTGCATGGCCCTCCATTCCCATCCCCTCACACCTGCCATGCTGGCTCGTCTCGGTCTCTGGCATCAATGAGTACCAAGTGCTTTCCTTTGCTTGCTTGATTCTTTCCTTCCTATTTTTTGCTGCACTCTGCTAAATCAAACACTGCCAAATGGGAGCAGATGTTGCCCCTCGTTGGTGTTTTCTACATATTTTTATTTCTTTGGCTTAAGAAGCTCTACCTGCTAATGACTACAGCAACAAGGTGAAGTGGCAGTTCCTATGAGAAGTTTCAGACCGAGGGCACCGTTTCCTTTGCCAGAGCTGCCAGGTCTCCCTTGCTGAGTGTAGGAGGGTTTCCTAACAGGCCCTCAACTTAAAGGCACCTACCAGAGAGCACACTCACGTGTCTGTGAGTAAACTGACCCACCAGACACAATTCATATCACTCTTCCCAATGCTGTCTCCTGTGTCCGTGTTGAGGAAGCTTGAGAGATACACAGGTATTTGCTAGCACACTTATGGAGCTATTTTCCACATTAATTTCTTTTTGCTTCAGTACCACTTATCCCAGAGTTTCTCCTTAAAGGTTTTCTGTTTCTCTGTTCCTGAGAATGACATTTGCAAGTGGTCACAGCTCAACTCAAGACATCTGTGAGGCCACTGACGGCATGGTCTTTTCCTTTGAACAGTGCCCTTTAACTTCATAATGGGAGAAAAATGAATGCAGAGTTCCCAGTACACAACAGCTGCATTAATGTCAGACTTAAAGGACATGCAGAACCTTGTACCCATCTTATTCTGGAGTTAATTCACCTCCATAATTCTTATTTAGTACTTGTGGTGCTTGAAGCTGTGACAAGTTCCCTCTTAATTTTTATAGCTGTCAGAAGGGACTGCCACCCAGCAGACAATACATGGGCTAAAACCTTTTACCACATACTCCATTGGTGTGGAGGCCTGCACCTGTTTCAACTGTTGCAGCAAAGGACCCATGGCCCAAATCACCACACAGCCAGCTCCACCCTCAGAGCAGCCCCCTCCACAGATCCGCACCGTGACCTCCAGGAATGCCTCTTTCCAGTGGAGTGGCCCCCAGTCACCCAACGGCATTGTCACCAGGTAGGAGCTGCCGCCAGCCAAACCTGTGCACCTTAGCTAGAGGGTGGTGGCAGAACAATCTGAGCTGGAATCACAGGGCTGAGAGCACTGGGCGGTCATGGTAGCCATGCTCCTCCTTTCCTGTGTTGGTGGTGATATCCTCTGTGGCCTGAATACCATCTGGGAGGTGTTTAAATGCAACAATCGCTTTTCTCTTGAGCAGGATATTGGGCAGGATGAAGGTGGAGAGGATGAGCTGTTGTGGGTGGAGGTAATTGTCTGCCAGCTGTGGTTGCACAGCCAAAAAGTTGTGAGCTCACTGACAGCAAAGAGGCAGCCATACATCCTGTAGTTACTTAGGCAAATCCTAATTTGCAGAAGTGAGCGGCAAGGTAACAGGCGTCAACAGTTTCACTCTGTGTGTGAATTACAACCACAGCTGCTCATAGGCATCCTACAGGGCCAAAATCTCCAAGAGAAAAACTGGGATCAGTTCCATTTTCTTCTCCAGTAGCCTGACATAGAGCAATTAGGATTAAATGTATGATTGGCTGTTACGTTATTAAGGCTCTGTACTAAAAATCTCAACTTTCTTCTCAGCTATGAGCTCCATGTGTATATGGCTTGTCCCCTGAACCTACAGCCAGCAGTGAAGGCTTGCAGTCCTGGCCCAACTGAGGTGAGGTATACAGGAAAAGGACAGAGTGCCAATGTGTCCAACCTGGAGCCTTACACGACATACAACCTGCGAGTCGTTTCTTACAACTCTGTTGGCAGCAGCGCCTCAGAATGGATCGGTTTCACTACAGAAAAGGAACGTGAGTATGAGAAATGGTTCACCGATCAGCAATGCCCACTTCTGATGCATGGGGCTGCATAGTTCTAAATGACTTCTCCGCCTCTGTGAAACATGATGTCCTCAGAAAACTGCTCTTCCGTGTCCCTGATCACTGTGCCTCTGCTACCCATTCATTGAAATTCTGCTCTGGGGTTTGACTGCTCATTCCTTCAAAAATACTTCTTTGCTCATCATCTGATATCACATCCTCTATCTTGGGAGCCTGGAAACCTTTTATTTTACTGAAAATGGGCAGCAAAGCTGCAGAACATAAAATGTTCAAGTATTTCCAGAAAGGTGACGTGTAGTAATAAATACACTGCCATAAATAATCCCTGCAAAAAGTGGAGATCTTGAAAGAGAGCTGGTGATTCTTTCCAGAATCTTACTGTCCTAATTCATGCCACTTCTGCCAGGACTCATGAGAGTTTTTCTTGGATGTCATATGAATGGTCAGATCCTTGTTGACAATGAAGAATTCTTTGCTATCTATCTAACCACCACAGGCAGTACTTTAAGGCCATGTGGTAGTCTCATGGAAATTAAACATATAGGACTTGTGCCTACAGTCAAAATAGATTTTGCCATCAAAACTGTATTTGTAGTAGTCTAACATCAGCTTTTATTAAAAAAATCTATAGTGCTGTAGCCAAAGTCATTCTATAAGATGAGACGGGCATTTCACCTCAGCCTGCCAGGTCAAGGCAAAGAGGATGTTCAGTTTTTATCATATAGTCTTGTGTCAGGATTTCAGAACCACCTTTCTAAAAATCCCTTTTGCATCACTTGGTAGTTCTGCCTAGTAATTACTAAAAATGGATATCTGCTATATCCCTAGCCGAAAATTTCAGGTGGAGCAGCCCCAGATTTTCTTTAATATCACCACTGAAAAAAAAAAAAAAAAAAAAAAAAAAAGCAAACTAAAATTTGGAACTGGAACAAGATAATGAACTTTTAAATGGAGAAAATTCATAAGGATCTGGTGACATACAGAACAAAAAGGTTTGAAAGACATTATTAAACCCCAGCCCACTGGATCTGCAGCCCTCTTTTCAGTCTTGCTTTTCTTGCCTTGCTGACCTCTTCAGACCAGGTCTCCTGAGGCACTCTGAATGCCTCCTTCCTCGTGCCTGGAAGTCCTGCTTTAGTGACAGTGGGCAATTAGCAGCAAAGTGCAGCTGGACAAGCAGCTTTCTTATGAACAAACCAGCATATACTGGGCACAGGACTTAACGGTAAAGCCACAAGAAAGGACTACCTCAAACTTAAATGAAGTCTTTTATAAGCAAGCTTTTGGGCCCAACTGATGAACTCTTCCTCCTTGAAGTGAATTCTGGGTTTCTCTTCTCTCTGCTGGCCATCTCCTCTTGCTTTTCTGAAACCTCATGTTTTCATGTATGTGCATGTGTTAAAAGATGATCTTGGGCAATTTCTTGGGACTTGCAAAAGAGTCCTCCCCTTAGCAGTTTGGTTCCCACAGCCCAGCATGCTGCAGTTAAACTTGCACTATGTCCTGTGTCTCCCTGTCCTCACCTTAAGCTGGAATGTAATTTATAGTTTTAGTGTTTATAGCACATGCACAAAGGCAAAGGAAGGGAGTTCTTGGTCTTTATTTTAAAGATATGAGATATTTCTGCTTTCTCGGTATAGAGGCTGTCATGCTACAGCAGCTTTCTCTTTGCTCCTTGTATCTTCCCTACTCATACACATTTATATGAGAGAAGGAGTGTATGCAATGGAGAGCTTGTATCATGCAAAGTCTTTCTCTGAGCTGTATAACTCAGTCGTGCCTGTTGGCTAGAAATGAACTTTTTTCCTTCTTTTGCAGCACCTCGGTACACAGCTCCGTTTTCCGTTGTCAGCAATTTATCCACCATCCACATAGACTGGAGTCGCACTTTTGTGCTGAATGGCCGCCTGAAGGAGTACGCGTTAACTGAGAGCGGGCAACGCATCTACAGTGGCTTTGACACTGAGCTGTATTTACCAAGGACCTCTGACAAAAGTCAGTTTCAATTTCCTATAGCTTTCTCTCTGTGAAAGACTGTTGAGCTAAAAATATTATTGTGTGCTAAATTTAAGAAAAACTCTGCATAGCCATCCCAAGCTAGGAGCACAGGAGTGTACTACAGATGCACTGAAATGCATCTAAGCAGATGCTTGAAACAAAAATCCTTGGAGCTAAGCTTCCTCTTAAACATAGTACCTTGACTGGGTGAGACTGCTCTGGCTCACTGTGAGGGTTGAGCTTTCCCAAATCCTGGAGCTGCATTGCAATTCCACACTTCAGGGCTATGCTCTGGGAAATGCATGGAAATCTTCAGCTTCAGAAAAGACTGGAGCCTGCTTTTTCATTTGAATCAAATCAAGTCAGTAGCTCTTAGAATCAACCATGTTTTGAAATGCAATTTATCTTTAGAAATTTGAAATCTTTAAAATAGAAGTAGACTGTCAGGGAGGGGGGGGGGAGGCGGAAGGAAAGAGGAAAAAAATAAAAAAAATGTTTTTAAGGCATTGGGGGTTTTGTATGTCAAAGGATTTTATAATTTTTTTTTTACCTTCCTAATTACTGCAATGATGCTAATACGGTTGGGTTTTTATTTTACCCAAACATTCTTAACATGTTTGTATCAGCCATGAATGGAGTATGAGGGATTTAGGGCAAAATGATGAATAAATTGGAAGCTGCTGGTTACCTGTCATTGGAAGAGGGAGGATTGAGTGGTGAAAGAGGGACATAATTTGGGGCAACATCATAGTGGTTGCTACCTATGATCTGCCATGGTTCACATAGTTTAGAAGTTCAGTACCCATGTATAAGGGATTATGAGGCTCTGACTGGGGCTCAGGTGGGTTGTGATGGGTTATGTGCTGTGCCTGCTTTGGCTTTTCTCAGACCTGGCCATCTCTGCTGGTGGATCATGGTGAAAAAGCAGCACCTACAGAAGCTGGATTTCTCCCACTGACAGTATTTTCTAACCTTTTTTGTTCAGCCTTTTTGTTTCAAGTGACCTGCATCACTGATGAAGGGAGTGCCATAACACCAGTCATCAAGTACAGCACTGGAGATGGAGTTGGTAAATATGTGAAGAAATTACCTAGTACCTATTAATTTTATGTGTTTGTGGTAGAAATTTGATAAGTAGTACATGCCAGACAGGAGGGCATCTCATTGCGGGATCAGGGGATGCCTTAGTGCCTTAGGGTATGAGGTATGCAGGTAATGTGCCGGTTTTTTGTTTGTTTTTTTTTTTTTTCATGGATGAATTTCTGTTTCTTTACATCATGATTAGCTTCAGATCCTCTCTCCAGATGTGTAATATTTTTTTCTTTCATTTTTACATAAATATATTGCTCTGAAAATGTAGTGGGTTTTCCTGCTGAATAGAATCTTCTCCCTTTCAGATTTTATTTCCAAATTAAGATTATCTTGAATTCTAATCCTGTCCTCCCACATTCCTCCTCAGTTTGACAATGAAAATGCAGATCCTATCTCCTCCCTGCATCCCACCCACCCCAACAAGGAGCATCTGCCTGCTCCTTTCATATGATGCATCAGCCAGTCTCTGCAATTTCACCTGGGATATGTTCCCCTAAACAGCTTATAAGAATGTCATATGAGATGTTGTCAGGACCTGGTTTATAACACCTGCTGTCTCCCTTCTGTCCACAAGGCTTTTGCTTGTTTTGTGGAAGTGAGGGAGTTTTGTGTGGTGACATGCCAGTCACTTGTCCACTGAGTAGTAGACACATCCCTGTAAAAACTTTCAGGTTTTTTTAACTCCTTAGTTCTCTGGGAAGCAAAGCTAAGCTCAAACCATTTCTAACTGACATACGGGGTTTATTTAATGTATTTATTTTTTTAATTGCATCTTGTTCAGATTCTTAAAAAAGATGGGCCTTGTCTTTGCAATTACTCTTTACACTGCATTTCCCTTATATCCCTTTTCATGCTCTAACTCCGTCCTCCTGCAGAATTTCAGGCAAGGCTGCTGTAAAGGCATTATAAAATGTTCCCAGTTGCTCTACATCCATCACCTTCCTCACTCTGCTCCTTTGTTCTTCTGATTGCTGCTTGTACCCAGAATCTACTGCAAACTCCATCAGTACCACAGGCAACTTGCAAAGGAGGCTTGTGAGTGAAGGTGATGGAAATTCCTTAGACAAGAGGCTGGATATACATGTAGGATTGCAAAAAAATGGGAAATCCTGTCACTGAGATTTCTTATGCTTGTGATATGTATGAGCAAAGCCAGCCAAGTGGCTGGGTTTTTTTCTAACAGGTGTGCAAAGGAGGACAAAAAGGTTTCATGTTGTTTGCTTTTGTATTAATTTATCACTCCTTTTGGCTAAGTCTTCCTCCCTCTCTCTTTCTAATGGCACAGGCCTGCCACTACACAGTACAGGAGGGAATGTCCTCTGCCTGTACCACTCTGAAATTACCAGAGTCATTTTCACTCTTCAAGGTTACTTGGAGAACCCTTTTTTTTTTCTCACACTCCACCTCCACTGCCTCATTTCTCAAGAGCTGTTGATGCAGTGGTGATTTCCAGCCTAAGCAGCAATGCCAGAACTTTAAGCAGGGTCTCTTGAGGGTAGTAAGCTTTTTATTATAGCCCGCTAGCATATTGAACCATTATGCCACCTTGAACATAAGTGCAAATAAGCACATGATGACAAAAATTACTTAAATTTCTGCCTAATTTATTAGCGAGGAAAGGGATAGCATATTGTTAAACGCTTTCTGAAATAACATTCCCTTTCTCCCCTAATCCCTCTTGATTTTTACAGGTCTGATCTTGACAACACCTGGAGAGAAGGACAAAGCGGAGTCCAAACGTGCAAAATTCTACAACGAGCTGTGGTTTGCAGTGTTGATGGTAGTTCTAGGTTTGATCCTCTTGGCTATTCTTCTCTCTTTAATTCTTCAAAGGAAAGTCCACAAGCAACCCTATGCACGAGACAGACCTCCTTTAGTTCCACTCCAGAAAAGAACATCACCAATGAGTGTGTATTCATCAGGTGAAACCCATCCGGTATGTTTTTTGTAAAATGCAGTGTTGTGTATCCACCATGCTATACTTTTATCTGCCCCTCAGAAAATACACACACAGTTTCTATTCCTCCTTCCACTATTGTGTTGCACTCTTGGTTACCAAATGAAGGCTGTTCAGTGTATGAGAAGGGCTGTCTGGTGTACCTGTGTGGGCACAGAGAACCAGGGCACAGGTGCTTAGTCCAAAAAAAAGCCCTACGGTACCTGGTGGGCAGGCCATGAAATGCTTCTGATGCCTAAGATAAACTGTGGATCTGGAGTCACAGGAAACACAAAGCCACTGATGTCACCTGATTTTAGGTGACATCTGCAATAGAGCTGAAAAGCTCTGGGCGGGCTGTGAGAAGGTAGGTGATAAAATGTGCTTTTTCAGAAGAACCCTTCATGTGTTCCCAACTATCTGTTGTGGCTGGCTAACCAGGATCAGTCTGACAATCTTTGTCAGGTATCCATGAAATGTGGCTGCAAAAAGCAGGACTTAGGGAGAGCCTGTATTTCTTTCTAGTAACCACCCACCATCCAGCTGGACTGCTCTAGGATGAGCTGCATGCCAGGAAGGTTTGAGGGAGAGTGAGTGCAACCAGGACAAAGTTAGGGACCTTCACAAAATCTGTGTGTGCATCTGTGCACATAGAGCCAGTGGGACCACCAGCGAGGTGGGAGGAGGACTGCTGGGGAGTGATAAAGAGGAAGGCTTTGTATCATTTTTATTGTGATGTTATAATTCTGAAAAAATAATTGATAAAGAACCTGTTCCACCATGTGGCAGAGTAGTATTGCTATCCTACCCTTTGAAGAAAAGCAAGACAAAGGGAATATGGCAGTTGTTATGAGACTGAGAATGGAAGCAGCAGTGCCTTTCATTTCCGTGCCTCTTCCCAGGCACAGGCCATGAGATGATTCTTCTTGTCACTTCTCAGCATCTTTTTCCTGTGAGCGCCATCAAGCAGGATAGTGACTCCTGCATCCTTCACGCATTCTGTTCCTTCTTGTCTCAGTGCCAAGAAGCTGCATCTGTGCCTCAACGAAGAAGCTCTTGGAAACAATGGCATTTCCAGTGTGCCCCTTCCCCTGGCAAAGGCTAAGAGCATAAGAAACTTCTTTTCTTTTTGGTCTCATGGTTTTGATTCCTTTTCCTCTACAGTCTGTCATGTTGTCTTGTTCCTCTTGACTTTAAAATGTCTTTGCTGCCGGCATGTTTGCACAATTCCTTTTCATGCTCCTCCCCTTCTTTTCTTTCTTTTTTCTTTTTTCTTTTTCCAGAAGCTCATGGACTTAATACAAAGGAAGATTCTACAGTGTATCAGATCAAGGACTGAATCTGAGAAGTTAGGACAGAGTTACTGCAAAGTGGCAAAATCGGTTCTGTTTTACAAGTGCTAGTGAGGTCACATGGCAAGCCATGCAGGCTGCCCGCATGGTACTTGATGACCAGTTAAAAGTTAAATAGCGCCTCATCTTTGCCAGTTTCCCTACTCCCCCACATCCTATGACATTGCTCTCCCTCACAGACCTGCTGCTAATTCACACCCTCCATAAGGAACAGACTGCACCTGCATTGCACCTTGCCCCGCTCTAATGCTTTTCCTCCCTCTCTTTAATCTCAGTTTGAGACCATTGCTGACACATCTGATTCATCAAGCAGTGTCACTCTCAAAAGTTACACAACGCACTTTGAGGTAGAGTTGTTAGCTTGCAGAAGTGCAAGATGTGTGATGTGCCAGATGACCTAAAGAGCATGCACAAAGGCATCTTGCACTGCATGTTTCTCCTGGCGGGTGAATGTCTTTTCCCTGGTCATGATAACTGCAAAAGGAAGTCTGCTAACACCTCCTTGCTGTGCCAGTCTGGGCTATCATTCTGGTGGTCAAAAAGCTTTGGACCTCTGCCTGTTGGTTTTTTGTTTTGTTTTGTTTTGTTTTTTAAATAGGGCAAAGAAAAAAAAGGAAAGTCCTGTTGTACAGGGCTGCTTTTTTTTTTTTTTTCCTCCTTTTTAGTGATATGATTGTCGTACAATGGGGAAAGGTCTTTTTTTTTTCCTTCTGTTTATAATTGTGCATGACTTTTGAAGAATGGATTTCTCTGTTCTCTTCCACTCCTGCTTTGTTTTTTCTCAGATAGTGTTTAAGACCATACACTTTATTTTGATTTATTAGTTTGTGTCTTTCTCATAGGGGCTGGCAGATACAAAAATTCCAGGAGCTGGTTCTCCCATGAACAACCGCTGTGTCCGTATCACATCTGGGATGAGAAGACCAAGTCACAGCCAGCTGAATCACACATATTCCCAAGCCTCTCTCCATCGTAGTGTCAGCCAGCTGCTCGACCTGTACGACAAAAAATCTCTTGTTGAAGAATCACCTTGGGATGCCATTATGCGCAATCATCGCACTACTGGTCGTGGCTTGGTAAGGACTCCCGTTCCTCTCCGGTGCTGTTGAGCGTCAGCTGCTAGCGAGTTGTCTGTTCTGTTAAAATCATGAAAAGATCTAAATATCAGAAGCTACTGGAGAAACAGCCAAAAGACCTAGAAGGACATGGTCAGAGATTAGATCCTCAAAATCCTTCCTGCCTGCTGTTCTCTTCTGGAGCCGTAGGTGATCACACACTGCTCTTACAGGATGTGAGGGGTCCACATGCATCTGTCTGTGGTTTTCATTGAGCCAATAACTCCATGGTGCACAAGGGATATGCACCTCGAATAATACCCTTCTATTTAGTCAACTCATAGGCTTTTCTTTCCATGCATTTCAGCAAATGTACATGTGTGATGAGGGATGTCTTGGCATCCTTCACATGTTCAGTGCCAGAAGCAGGAGCTTGTGTTCTAGCCAATCCTGTTCTGTGACCTCAGGCTCAGTTGCTGACAGGACCTGCTCTCTGTCCCTCTGCTCATTCACAATGCAGAGATCACATGAATGCTCAGGTCTTTTGGCATTTGTGACCAATGACTTCAAACTCAGCCCCCATTGGACTAGAAGGAGGTTGCAGGGGCAGGCAGACTATCTGAATATAGGAGAGGGCAGGATTGGCCAGCGTCGCCAACATGGACCTGAGCACACAGACACAAGAAATTATGATTCTCGGGTCAAGGACTGTGGCAACTTCATTTCCTCTTTGTCATGAGGAAATGGGCTTTTTAACCTCCACCCCAGGTGCAGATGTGGGGAAGGGGTTTGGTCCCAGAAGTAGCTGAGCAGTTCCTAAACAAGGGGACAGATGCAGGTGAAGGGTATGTGAGGTAGTAACAAAATCAGATGGAGTGTGCAGTTATCATTGAGTGGATCTTGTCCAAAATGCAAAGTAAGCTGGCAAACAGCGATCTGGCACATAAATCCAGGCAGCTTCCTTGGGCTTTCTTTCACCTTCAGTACACAGCTAAAGGGCTGGCAGGTATAGGCATGCCCCGGTACAGTGGTGTCGCTGCCATTGCTGCCACCGTTGAACCAAGGAAGCTGACAGGGCTTAAGTAAGAAGATAGCATACTTAGCTCTAGGCAAAACCCCTACAGGTACAGGTTAAGCTTCCAGCCCCCTCTGCAGCTTACAGGTTCCTGAGTCAGCAGTATTGTGACAACCTTCAGTCATTTTCCCAGAGCTATCACAGTCATATTAATTCCCTGGGGACAAACAGCCTACACACTGGGTGTATCTCTAGCTGATCTCATTAGCCAAAGAACTGCTAAGAGGGGAAGCTCTTGCTCTATTTGCTTATATTGTGCTAACACCATGATTTGGTTTAGCTTGCAAACCCCTCACACGTGCTGGATGTTGCTATGTTAGAACTAGTTTATACAGTAGTCCAATGAGCATCAGAAGTGGTGGAAGCAGAACACAAAACTTCATCTCACTTTTGGTGGCAAACAGCATGAGCTCAGCTGCTTTTTAAAATCAGTGGCTATACCTACAAAGCCAGGCTCTTCTGTCTGCCCTCTGTACATTCCTTTGCATTTCCCTGAACCTGTCTCTGCTCAGCTACTCTGTTGCAGACAAACCTGCAATGCTTTTCACCCAGTTCTTACTGCACTCAGCAGCTGAGGCCTGTCAGCGAGTTTTGTTCAGCCCTTTGTCCATCTTTGCAAATTAATAATACTGAATGGTTGAGGTAGCCCAGGACACATACCTGCAGTAACACTGCTGGCGATCTCTTTATGCTATGGAAACAGTTTATTTCTCTTGAGCTTTCAACTTTCTATGAATGAACATAAATGCAATTGGAAGAAGTTCAGACCCTCCTTTAGAAGCTTGAAGAACAAAATCTTACCTAAAGAACAGGTGATGTGGTTGTTATACCAAAAAAAAAAGTAAACATGTATTCTTTTTCTTTTAATCTCTTCAGTTCCACATCACACTAACAAACACTATTTTACTTATCATTTGTCAGATACACATCTTTTTTTTTTTGAACTCATTGCTTACTATGACAATCTGCTTGGTTTCAATTTGGGTACCTGAATGCTTTAGGTTTTACCTCATGCTGGGAGGAATGGGAAAACATGTGGAGAGGTAGAAATGCACTTATTTATCTATTTCGGAACCATTTTTAGTGGGTGGGAGGAAAGAGAAACAAAAAGAATTGCCTTTAGTCTGGTACATGGCTTTGGCTCACATGCCTTTTTTCTCTCCCCCCTCCTAACAGTATGTAGATGAAGATGATCTTGTCAATGTCATCAAAGGCTTCAGCACAGTCACCAAGGAGCACACCACATTCACAGACACCCACCTCTGAAGAACACAACCACCTTCTCGAGAAAATGGAAAGTGGGTAACTTGCCAAAAGCAGCCTGCATGGCCTTTGGGGAAGGGAGCAGGGCTGCTGTTTCCCCACCCCATGTCCACTAGTTCAAAGATAAAACTGTTTATTGGGAGGGGAGGGGGGTGGGGTGTAATTTGGCCTTTTTTTTTTCTCCATCATCTCTTTAACTGTATGGTAAAAAAATGTGTGTTAGCACTCACACCTCAGAAAGGTTAAGAGAATAGTTTGAAAATCCCTAAGTCACAAAGCAGTATGAGTAGTACGAGAGGTTCTCACCTTTGTCTCTCATCCAACTTTCACAGTTAAGAAGGGTTGTGGGGGCAGGATGGGGGCAGCATGTTTGGCAAGGAAGTTTTTTTACCTATCAAAAAAATGTGGTTAAAAGGGGTCCTTGTGGCAGGAGAGCCATGTCTTTTCCTAGCTTGAGAAAGCTCCGCCACACAATTGTGTTCATGCACAAGTGAATAAACAGCAAATGAAGGAATTATTACAGAGTTGCTTTAACCTTTGTGTTCTCTCCCTGTCTTCCCCACCCTCTTGGCTCAAAAAAAGCGCCATTAATTAATGCTTAAATTCAAGCATGCTTTTACAGAGGTAGAAAACCTCCTAACCCACTCCCTATTAAACACTTGCTGTCACAGCCTTCCCTTTTGCTTATGTATTACTAATCTACAGGCAATAAAAATTTGTTCACCACCCACAGTAAACTAGCAGACAGCAAGCAACCAGCGCAACACAGGTAGGAAATATCATGTCAAGGCACTTGTAATTGAGAATTATTATACCATGACAGTAAACCTACTCCCATATTCATCTCTGTCCTTTTTCCAGAGAAAGTGACAAGAAAGCCCTCAAGAGACTGCCAGTCTGTGTATTCTGCCAAGCATATTTTTATGCATGCTCTCAGTCACAATCAGCAAAACCCATCATCTGATACCACACATTTTTCAGAAAGCACAAGCAACACTCCTCTGGCAATTTATTTGGACTAAGAGGCAAAATAATATGCTATTTTCAATAGCTTCCTCTTTAACCTGCACAAAACATTTCAGATTTCAGACAGCAGCATACAGAGCAAGGATCCCATTTGTAACACAAGACTACAGGGGCAGCTCTGTGACTTAGGCAAAATCCAGTCAAGACAGCAACAGCTCTGTAGAGCAATGCGTGGCTGCGTCTAAAAGGCATCTTCCACTAAGCAACCAAGCATTCCTTTACCACCTTCCCTTCCCCCAAAACAAAAATAATCACAACATATCACATGCCTGACCACGTTTACGCAAGAATGTACAACAATATTTTGGACCAAGTACCGTGCTACATTTTGGAGCATTACACAAAGCCACACATTGATGTGGACGACTCTTCAAAGGTTTGGCAGCAGCCAGGTACCTTCTTATAACCTTGTAATTTTCATTCTGGGTATCAGAACAAAGTCCCATTCAAGAGACAACCCACAACATGTAATGTTATGCCTGCTACCAGCCAGAGGGCACTTCATCTTTGCCACCAGTCACATTTTCACAAGCCGTAGTCTTGACAAGATGAGTCGTTCTTCCGGTGACGTGGTGAAGCAGCTGTCTTCGTAGGTGATGGAGAAGCTGCACCAGGTAATTCAGGCCCACTTTCAGCAAGGACCGGTGCAGAGGCCAGGAGAGGCACTTTCTTCCTTCCCAGGAAGACAGTTCCTTCAAACCCCATCTTCTTTTTGCTTTCTGCTTTGGCTTCACTCTCCTCTTCTGGTCCTCTTCTTTTGAGATCCAGAGAACTCTCTGGCAGACGGTGAACGTCCGTACTGCAACACGCACCCGCATCTGTCACCCCTGTGCCCGTGCCTCGCGCTTCCAGTGCTGTCGCCAGGACGGCCTTTCTCTCAGCTGCACTGCCCTCAGCTGTTGCCCTCCTGGCCTCTGTCTGGCTTAAATTGCCATTTGCCGCAGCTGACTTTTCTGTTGGGCTTTTGTTGGGTAAGTTAAAAGCCTGGAAGTCCCGGTAACTGTGAAAGCTCTCGGTCCGCCTTGCTCTTGCCAACAAGGGGCTTTCTCTGTATGGCCGCACAGAACCATATGTGGCTGCTTCATGAATTGTTTCATGGTGCTGCAATTGGAGGCTTCAAAAAGAAAACACAACCAAGGACGAGAAGAGCAGATGTTAGGCAGAGAGCAGTCAGTTCTTCTTGCACACTCTCCTCCCACTCACCATTGCAACTCCCACTGAAATAGGAATATACTCATCACAACCCCCCCCCACGGGTTTCCAGACCACTTCAGATTCTCACAGGATACCTTAATCTACACACACATAAACCAACAGAAATTGAGGAGTGTGTGTGTGTAGTTCAAGACACTCAGGGCATGGATTCAGGAGCTCTGCTACAGCATTCAGGGTACCAACCCCCCCTTTGCCTACCTGAAGGGTAAAACCTTTGGTGTATGGAGCCGGTGCCACCCTTGGTGACTTACCTGGAATTAGATTCCCGAAGCCGGTTTGGCTGAACAACTGAGGTGGCAGGACTGATGTTGGGTGTGGCACAACGAGACGTACTCAAGTCACACTGGTCAAGCAACTTGAGCAGCTCTTCCTCTGTGGGGCCGCCAACATCTGAAAGAGACAGCTCTTAGTGCCCAAGTCCACTTACCATAGCCATGTGAGGACAGAACAACCACACCACAGTCCTGCCATAACACAACTGACCTTTGTCTTCATTCTTATTAACCATGTCCATAGCTGTGGTCAGGTCCCACATCTGGATGCTGCCATTTGAGTGCCCAGTGAAGAGGTAGCGGCGTGGCCGAGAGCCCATTCTGCTGGATCCTTCACATTCTCGCACAGTAAACGATGAGATGGTAGTGCAGTCAACTGCCTGGATCTCACAGATCCTATGGGAAGAGAAACCCCAAGTTACCAAAACAATCGCACCTGGCAGATTAGGCTAGTAAAGTCAGTACTGTTTTGATTTTCTGAGAAGGCACCAAACCTTTCTTCCAGATGAAACTCCTTCCCCTGTGTGACTGGCACGCTGCTCAGCTGCAGACAGTACCTTCCCCCCCAATCCATCTGCAGCCTTACAACTTGTTTATTTTTCTTAGGGAACCCCCACATATTCAATGTCCATTTTCAGTTTGCGATGATTAGGAGCCTAAGGCTCTCACAAAAATGACTGCAACTAGCCCCTTCATATGCTAGGCACTCTAGGAAACTAATCCACAAAACCAGTACACCTAACCATATAAAATATATGCAAAAAATATCAAAGGATGATAAATCCAAGGTTATCTATACAGGTAACTTTTGTCTTATGACAAATGCAATACCACTTGACATGGCAGATCTCCCTTGCTTTTTTCCTTTATTTTAGAACCTTATGTGGGAAGAGGAAAAGTACTCCCAAAACTAAGCTGCTAAGCCAGACTCCACACCAGAACCTCACATATTCTGAGTAATTTGTTTTATTGTCCCCTTGTATTGAGCTTTTTACCCAAGAAGTTCCAAAGTAAGTAATCTATTAAAACACTCCACTACATAAAAATCTAGTCTGAAGAAAGAAAAAAAGAAAAAAAAGTACATCAGTAATCCTCAAATCAGATGCCAACAGTATTAAGGCATCAACATTTGATTTTGAATCAATCCAGATTCAAAGTTATTAGGCAAGAGATGCAAGAATAGTAAGAAACACAGAACTGAGATGCACCATCTTTTCTGATTTCTTGCCATTTTCCTAGCCTAACGGGAAGAAAAGCAGCTGTGGTTATTTGGCAACTTTTTTTTACTACATAGGCAACAACATAGTAGAATATCATGAAGTCAAGCCTAAGTAAGTAATTGTATAGCTGACCTAAAAGACAGTCTCCCAGTTATAAAGGTTCTAATATCCTTAGACGATTGCAAAGGAAGATAAAAACTGCTTCCCTGTCTACTTTTGTGAGCAGCTTAATCCCTGCCACCAGCAAATTCAGCATTAGTTTTGAAATGTAATGTTAGCATGGTACCACGGCTGAGTTACGGATTCTGTAGAGGCACACAGGTGAGCCATCATGAAGTGAGTCTCTGATACCACATTTATCAAAATGCTATTTGGCTTCTAGGTTAGAGTAGAACATTACGTACAGTTCTGTTACTAACACACAGAGTTCAGCCAGAGCTGCCAAGCACACTACAAGCTTGCTAAGTGCAACTGCATGCACCCCCAAGGGATGGGAGACCCCACCACCTGAACAGTCCGGCTCCTTTCCCACTTAAAACCCTGAACATGGAGGTACCTTTTCCCAGTTGAAGACAGCCTTACAAACAGCTTATTAGTGATGGGAACAACTTTTTGGATAAACACCTGTTGATCATCACGTTCACCAAAGGGTCCTAGAGAAAAAAAGATCACTTTTTTGTTTGTGTTTGCTTCAATGCCCTCACCCTCTTCCCCACACAGTCCTGAAGACCCAAACTCATATTAGTAAGACCACATCAGGACCAGGGAGCCAAAGATGACTAACAGCTACAAAAAGCCATCCAGTAGTTAGAAGTCTCTACAGATACAAATCTTTTTTGTTCTTTTGTTTTAAAGGAGGCCATTTTTTTTAAGTTTTCTTCATGTTCCTGGAGGCATTACTGTCAGTACAAACCCTGCATTAGCCCTCTAGTTAAACAACAAGTACTTTCTTATTTTGCAGCTCTGAGATGTCTAAAGGCTTAATCAGATTCTTGCCATAGTACTGACCCCACCCTGTGTTCATGAGGCACCCTATTCATCAAAGGTTTCAAGACTCAGACCACAGAGGAATCTAGACTACCTGTCTACCCATGTTTACAGACATGCATTCCTTCGGTATCTTGCTATAGCAATGTGCGAGCACCATTTGCCTCTGCAATTTCAAGGCTTCAGTAAACTTTGTCACAACTTCAAATTCATGTTAACATTTTCCACATGTGCAGCTTTTAACCCCAACTGAACAGTGAACTGGAATCTGAAGTAGACCCAAACCTTGCTATGCTCATCTGCTTTAATATAGTCTCCTGTACTTTCTGTCATTCTCTAGTTAAACCAATAGTGAAATGCAACATCAGTTTGCTCAAGGAAGAGGTGTTGTACCTACGTTCAAAAGTTTTTTCTCACCTTCAGAGTAAGCCCTTTAAGTGTACTCACTCTCTACAGCCTAAATAGTGAGTATTTCCAGAGGAATCTTACAGATCCCTGCCATCCTTCCAAGGGGAGAGCAGTATATAAGAGCTTACACCCATCAGGTTATATGGTTGAAGGTTTGTTAAAGCTTTATGAGACCAGTGAATGTACAGGCTCAGCACAGCGCATTTGAAAGACATCCTACCAATGTCATTTCCAGAACAGTAACTGCCATGACTCTCTGCTTCCTCCAGGGATAAGATTTTGAATGATGCAAGAGGTGTGGAGCCTGGCTGAGTTGAAATCATGCCCCGGAACCGAGTCACAGTCCATGTCCTTACATGGTTGTTATCAGCACAAACTAGGAAGAAAAGGAAGTACAATAACATTT